TTCAGCTTCAGCAACATCTGCTACAAGTTTAAAAAAATCCAACCCTTTGGTGAAGCTCTTAACTTTCCATGTTCGATGGAGCTTTAACGTACCACCATCACTAACCAGATTCCACCCAGCAACCTGAACACATCTGAATAGCTAAAAAGAGTCTATGTGAGGAAAATATTCACACAAACACAAACACAAACCTTTGATATTAGTTCATTTGCACTTCCTTCAGTCATTGGCCGCATATCCCTTGAGTTGCATGGCACACACTTCTTGGTTGACAGATCTAACATGCCCCAGAAAAATGAATGATGTAATAAGAAATTGTCATTTTTAAATACATACATTGCAATTATTTTTTTGTTTTGAGATAAAAGTATAGAAGTGTATTAAATATTGGCATCAAGAGGGTGCCGCCAATAAATACATCCTTGCAATTATAAAGTTAAGTTGACCGTATTCTTGATGTATCATGAAATTAGTATCACATTTCAGTGATGAATATTATATGGTAGAAAAATAATCTAAGAACGGGTCCTGTAAGGATGAATATAAACCAAAGCATGCAACAATACTTCTTCTATAGTGCCGTATCCTGGTAAACAACGCATCTCCTTATAGGTCAACAGTTCAACCAAGAAAGTAGCCACAGGCAACATGAGATGTAAATGCACTGCAAATAAGCTATCAAAGAATAGATTACAGTGGAGCAATGCAGATTACTACAAGAATTTTCATATTTTATCAAGATTTTATAGTTATTATATTTTATTAGGATTTTATTTCTTATTGACCAGAAGTCCTATTTTCCCAATTTATGCAAAATGTATTAGCTTCTTATTTTCTAAATAGATTAGATATCATATTATATTTAATATATAATAACTATACTATTTAGAAATATATTATTATAGTTTTAGTACCTTCAGAATTTCTTCTTTTTTTTTTGAAATAAAAGTGCAAATATGTATTGAAGTAAGGGTGCCAAGGGGGCACCAACCATGTACAAAATTTACATATCAATTAGCATATCAACAATAAAACCAAAATCATCAAAACAATCAAGATTATGCCCTAAAATAATATGGCTATAATAGTAAAACCAATTATCTTCGATGGTACCAAAATCTACTTTTTTTCCTTCAAAAGCGTAATTGTTTCTTTTTGTCTATGTGACCCAAAATGTGATTAGAAGGAATGAGTTTTGAGGGATTAACTTTAGAATGGTACCAAAATCTACTTCTTTTGGATTTTATTATTATTAATACTTAATTTTTCAATTTGTTTAGTATTATTTCCTAATTTCTTTAGCATTAGTATTTCTTAATTTAATCCTATTTAGTAAGGTTACGTAGGAAGCATTTAGAATATGTTTTAATTCCTTGATGGATTCTAACTCTTCCACAAGTGCTTATAAAAAGAAACACTGGCTCCTCATGGCTTGTTATTTTGAATTTGTACAAACCCCACTATAATTTCTCAAGAAAATCTTAAGAGAGATTTTCCAAGAAAATTGCTCTAGGAAATTAGTGTTTCTCATCTCAAGGTTGCGGATGAGAAATTTGAGCTAGTTCTTGCATGCTACTTTCCAATAGCTAAGGAATCACAAAAAAGCAAATTAGTTTAGAACAATCTGGCCATCAAGGAGAAGAAAACAACCAAACCTATGAGTTACCTTTATTCTCTAGGGTTTCATTTTTTGGCAATTTTCGCACAAGGAGGTTTGGCTTGGGACATGATCTTCTTAAAGTTTCTTCTTCAGCTAAAAGTTTTGGAGCTCGGGAGGAATTGGAATGTGAAGATCCCCAGAGAGCTAATTTACAAGGTGTGCAGAACAAACCAAAAGAGTTTAGGGTTGGTGTTCTTTACATGATTGTTTAAATTCTAGAATGGCATTTTCACATAGTCAATAAGCATACTAGATTTCTAAGGAAACTAAGCCAAATCGAACTAATTTTAAGAAAAAAAAATTAATTCTATTGCATCTACCCTAGAATGCTATTGATCTACAGAATGGTGAGGAAAGCTATTAAATTCTAATGAAGTTTGAAGTGAAAAAATAAACATAAATAACTTCTATGCATTGTATAAAGGAAAGTTTTCTTCTGTGTGTAAAATTTGCAACCCTAAGGCTAAGCTTGGCTCAGTTCAATTCAGATTCCTTTATCATTCAATTAACAGACATATATGTAAATTTTGCATATGATTCACCAATTGAATGATAAAGGAATATGACTTAAAATGGGGCAAATTGCAATAGTAACAAAATACAAATCCCAATTATGGAACAAATTATCAAAGACAAAGTACCCCATTTGATTATAGCACTGTAAAACAGTGATAGGTTATTACACACCTTCTCCAGTGCAAAATGTTCTAAACCCATAAAGTGAGTTTCTATTGGATGAAACTCCCAGATGATGATGAACTTCAGCTACCCAAGTAATTGAGCTGTATCGTCAGACAATAAAATTATTTGAAAAAGGGTGGAGAAGGAGGCTACATGGTGCAAACATAAACTCTAGGAAAAGTAGATAAGAGAAGACAAGAATTCGATATTTGAAATACCATCCTTATAACTTAGAAAAGATATCAATGGCAGAGCAAGAAGAAGATAAAGTGAAAATCATAGTCCGGAATCTCAGACTAAAAGAGATGCAGAAAGGCCAGAAGAAAGAAATGTTAACATGATTGGAAAGTATAGAACTACTTTTAAGATTATTTTACAACTTGCTGTACGTACTTTCATCTATGACTTAATGGAAAATAGTCTATCTACATTGATGAAAGTAATATATAGATTGTCAACAGCGGAAACTATCTTGTTACAGTGGAAACTACACCGCGCAAATCCAAAGCTTATGTCCTTTTGACTGGTCTATCAAGTCATCCAGTTAATCTCTTCTCTACAAAGTTTTTTTGGGATCAAGCAAAACAGGTATCTAATCAAAATTAAAGTCTTAATGCGCACATATTCAGTTTCATTCCCTACTTATTTTGAACCATTTCCCCCAGATATCTAACATGGTAAATAATTCACCTGACAAACACTCAAACAGAATCCAATCCCTAATTTTCTTAAATACAAACCCAATTTTTGTAACAAAAACATGGACATGCAGACAACACAATCACATGGACATGCTGAATTGCGGATCATAACGCGAATCAAAAACTTGATAATCCTGATTTATATCGAAGAGAATATCCAGTCAAATTGAAACGCAAATAAAAAGGAAAATTAAAAATAGTTTTGCAGGGAATCACCGTCCATGAGCTCCGAACAGGCTTCTGAATACTCCTGGCACCTGAAAATATATCCACGGAAACAATTAACCAGAAGCTTACAGGATGGAGACGATAGATACATGTATAAAGAGGTAGAGATTCGTGTGAACCTGGGGCTTCGAGAGAGAAATCAGGGGAGACAGTAACATCGCCCTCGTACAAATTTTGCCGAATGTTCTGCGTCACGTCTTTAACTGAGCATCGAGGTACGGAAGAAATTACCGGCCAAAATTGTAAATACAGTAAACTATGTGGTTAATTGTGTAAATACATCAAAATATTCCCTTTTTTTCTTTTTCTTTTTTAAAAAAACTTGGGTGCAATTAAATCTCTTATATGTGTTATTTGGCAAGTCTCATGATAAACAAATTAATTACTTCTATAATCATATTTTGTATATATATATATATATATATATACAAAATATGAGTAGGATGTGAATGAATTGAGTTAGAATACAAATTTAAAGAAAAATGTATTTTCGTGTGAAGGTAAATAGTTTGAATTTAGAAGAATTCTTAATAGTATCGTGATAAATAAATATAATAATGATAGGTTGATACGACAATTTAGTTCGGATAATTTATTTTTAATAAAATCTTTAACGACTAATATTTGAAGTTTAGAAATATCTAGCAATAGAGAATTGATAAAGGCCCAAGTTTGGAACTCGAATGTGCCTCCCAAAACTAAAATCTTTTTATGACAATTGACAAAAGATATAATATCAATGTTAAATTATTTATATAAATGTCATACTAAGTTAGAAGTTTAAAGTAAGTGTATTAGTTGAAAAAGGTGCAGAGTATATCGATTATATGTGTAACGGTCCCGAAAATTTAGAATGAAATATGTGTATTAAAAATGTCCAATGCGGAAGCATAATAAAAATTTTGATTAACATCCCTTACACACAAAAAAACCAAAAAACGTGCTCAAAATATAAAAAAACTAACTAAAAGAGATACTCGAAAATAAAAACTATAAATATAACTACGGAGTCTTTAGGCGTCCCCTTCGCCGTCTTCCTGCGGAACGGGCTCGGGAACAATGTCTTCCTTATCTGAAATGGTTAAATAAGGAATGAGCTACACCAGCCCAGTAAAGACATCACACTATCTCACCGCCACGGAAGTAAATGTGGGTAGAAAATATAAAAAGACCAATGGAGTATAACTAATGATAAACTCGTTTATTAACATAAAAACATTTACTGTCCACTTACCTCGGTGAGATTCATGAAAACAACTTATGAAAATAATAACATTATCATCATCATGAAATCATATGAACTGTATAACAGAATACTTACCACGCCTTTGCATCTCAATCATTAGACAATACATTTTCCTCATTTACCAGCCTACTAGTATCCATGGGGATCCATAGGGGTCCTGCTACCCGTGAACCCTTAACATTTATAATCTGATTCCAGAGTCGTCCCCATACCCCGTCCGGTATGGGCACCAAAACCATGAACCTCAATACCCCGTCCGGTATGAGGGAGAAACGGGCCATCCCCATACCCCGTCCGGTATGGGCGCCAAAACACAGAAGGTCTCCATACCCCATTCGGTATGAGAGACCACATTCCCGGTAGGGTTCTCTATAGACCCGGTCCATCCACCATCTCCCATAATATCTAGTCAAGCTGTCCATATTATCTATTTATCAATTCACATAACCTTTTATTCCCTTTTTCCTCAGTCACTATCATCAAATCACACACAAACATGCAAACCAGTAGTTTATGCCAAACAAGACAACACACAACATCGGGTTCTTAGTCATTCAATCCATAGTCAATAAAATAGTGATATATGCACACGAAAATATGAAATGAAAACATTAGACATCATACTGCATTTAAAACTGTAAAATAGAACAAACAACAACTGACCGACAAATACACCAGACTCGGGCTCCATTAGCGACCCTAAACAATTTCACACATCTATTGATTCATGAAATACCGTTTTATCATTTATTGAACTTTAATACCGTGATAGAAAATAGGGTGAGGGGTCCTTACTTGCTTCGGGGTCTGAATACGGCTCTACAGTGCGCCTACAGGCTGTCCCTAATTTTTCCTGAATTTTTTCTGGGGAACTGAAACGCACTACTGGTACCTGCACGTGTCCCAAAAAATCCCAAATTAGACCTAGGGCCCCTTTCGGCCAATATCGCAATTCCGGCACGGCAGCTCCGCCGTGCTCCGGCGACTTGCAGCGGCGATTCGCCTCGGGTTGGCAGTTTT